CAGAATAGATGGCACCTGACTGACCTGTAACAGAAATATAAGAATCCCGCGGTGGTTTCGACCACCCGGGGGCACTCCGACGATCAAGTCAGTATATCTCTCAAAGATAAATCAAGTACTAAACTCACAAGCTTGAGTATCAAAAGCATACCTTAGACCCATGGGAGTGCCTCTCTTTTATAGCCAATACAATCCTAGTCCCAAAAGGAGCCTGGCCCTAATGGACTTAGGATTACTGCTAATCTGGGACTCCCAGTGGGATTAGGATAAACTCTCTAAAAGTCTTATCTTTTCCCAAACTGAAGTCCTTTCTCATTCTAGGACTCTTGTCCCTTATCCATTTATCTCGGATTCCGATATCTTCGGAGATAACCTCGGCCTTGCCGAGATTACCTCGGCGTCACGACCAGGACACGTGGCACCTCGGCTGATACGTCGGCATCACCTTGCCACGTGTTGGTACTCAGAAAATATATCCCCACAACTAAGTTGAATAAAATATTTTTCAACCGTTTTTCACTGTAAAGTTACAAAAGCCACCACAGCTATCGATTGATACGATGTATGGATCGTGAAAATGATTAGTAATATTTATTTGATAGAAATTGTTTTAATTTTTTATTTTATTTTATTTTTTTGTGTTGTAATAATACTTTTTTATGTAGAGGGGTCCTTCCTTTTATGGAGGTATTCTCCTCCCTGGGTGGATGTTTGTTTTTCTCCTTATGTGAAAACTCACATTCTCCATACGTGGAGGTTTTCTTTATACATTTTGAAAATAGTGTTACTATTAACACCCTATCAATTATTTTGGACCCCTCATTTTTTAACTTATTTTTATTACAATAATAACTTCAAATGAAATTATTAAAAATGATATCAATAATTTTGGGACACTTCATCTCACAATTAAGCCTACACACCTATTATATCATGAGTTAGGTGTCACGACCCAAACCCTTCTATATGGGATTAACATCGCAACCGGCCAGTAATCCGTGATTACCGAAGGCCTGCTTAACAGTAATGACAGTAATACAGAGTAATGGACTGGCGGAAGCCAAACAGTAATTAAAAAGATATCCAATGACCTGTGAAAATTTGAATGCAAAAAGACTTTTATGAACAAGCTACATTCATAACCAAAACATATGTACATACACCATATACACAAACACCCAGGTTAGGGACCAAGTCCCTTCACCATAACTGTACAGTCAAGTCATAACATTCATTACATAATGGAGACAAAAAGGGTGATCCTGAACACCCCAAAACAGCCTTAGCTTGAACGAACTCGGAACCTCGAAGTGAGGCACGATGGTTGGGTTGACAAAATGAGAGCTTAACTTGACGCTCCTAACTTCGGTCCGGTGCCTGGACACCTACATATAAATATAAACAGTGAGCTAAAACTCAGTGAATAACAAATGCGTAAAGGGGTTAAGAATGAATGTCCATTCATTAATTAAAACAGTCATTTGCATCTGTAAATCAGTTATTCAATCGGTGGCTCATATTTCATGCCATAACAGTTATTTGGAAACCATAGTTAGTCATATGTGGTACATCTAATAGCAAAACAGTACAGTAGGTCTTAATAGATCGAACAGTCAGTTGATAGCCATCAAAACAGTAAACAGTAATAGTTTCAAACATTGGAACTGACAGAGATCTCTGTAACAGTAGCAGTAGCAGTAACAGTAACAGTAAGTTGCTATGGATGCCACGAGTACAGTTCATAAATAGGACAAACATTCATTCAGTAAGTAATGTTACTTCAGAAAGCAATACAGTCAATCGCTCAGAAAATAATTTTAATTAAACGTATCTTTACAACATTGTTACACACAAAGCACTGGGCTAAAGACATGCTAGTCAGCGTCCTCGGGTGCCAACCCTACACAGTTGCAGAACGAACACACACTAAGTTACACACTTGGGATTAATAGCTTAGCCCCTAAACTTGACTTGGTGTGATTTTATAATATTATCCTCATTAAGATGTCTTAAACTTGACCTAGGAATGCCTAGGATGAAATGAGGATAGAAAAATTGTACCTTAAAACACTTTTCAAAATTTGCTGAAACAGGAGTCCACGCTCGAGCGTGGCTTTCTACACTCGAGCGGACATGCAGACAATGAAGCTCCGCTCGAGCGTGACTTCATTCGCTCGTGCGGGCTGCAAACTCATAAAAAGTACTGGTTGCATGATATTCACGCTCCACGGACGCTCGACCTCTGCTCGAGCGTGAGACTTAGACCCTCGCCCGAGCGTGACTTTTTTCGCTCGAGAAGTGCATGTACTCAGAGTGTACGCTCGAGCGTGAAGTCCTCTGCTCGAGCGTGGATCCAAAATCTGAAATTTCCAGATTGATCCTCAAGCACAAAACTCAACTTCTAAAGCTTCAAACTCGATTCTTTTTGGGCTAATTTTCTAGAAAACACTTAGAAACCCATAGTACAACATGTTTCAAAGATCACTTTATAAAATCAAACCCAAAGGTGTAATAATTGAACACAATTTTGAATGAAACTTAATGAACATAGCAAGAACACAACATGCATGAGTTCTTGTGAATTCCAATGCTCCAAAACATGGTCAAATACAAGATTGAACTCTAAAACATGGTGAATTCATGGAGTACAACCAAAATATGGACATGCATGTGGAAATTCTCATGTAATTGATCTCAAAACTCGATAATATCGACATGCATGCACACATTGCTACTCAATTCAACTCTTTAGGCTATAACTTGACTCTAATCTCCAATATTTCCATGAACCATGCAAGAACAACTTAAATTCACAATTAAGAGGAAGAACTCCCTACCTTAAGTCTTGAATTCTAGGTGTAGGAGGTCTCCTTCAAATTCTCCTTAGTTCCAAGCCAAACTTTGTTGAATCAACTCTTCTCTTCCAACTCTCTCTCTCTCTCTCTCTCTCTCTCTCTCTCTCTCTCTCTCTCGATTTTGGTCTAGGAAAAGTGATGAAGAATGATGCCAAACATATATGAATCAAGACTAAATAAATGGCCTAGCATTAATCCACTCAATAGCAATTTGGTAGTAAATGCAAACTAATATAATTTAACTTTATTTATTATAATTCAATCATTCCAAATCAAATTTTAATTAAACCTATCATAAAATCATATAAATCCTAATTAGCATATAACACTGACCAATTTCTGATTCGGTCGCCGATAAAGCCTTCAATTTACAATTCGAAATAAAAACACGAACAGATCATCCAGATAGAAATGCGTTTAAAACAACGCACTCATGCAAACAGATTAGGATTTCATTCTAATCAACTACTTATCATGCTTAATCAGAGTTTAACACTAATCAGAGGTGAGGGTTGTCACATTAGGGTTTATGACAGTACCTACCTCCATCACCATCCATCAATCTTCTCCAAATTTCACCTTGAAAATCTATACACCCTCAAAACTTTGAAAACCTTTTGGTGGTAATATTCTAGTGGTAACGGTGGCAACCATTTAATTATCTACATTTCTCCGGCAATGACAATGAGTGAAATTTTTTTCGAAAACCACAACTCCATGAGACGAGAGGAGTACAACAATAAAAGCTCAGAGGAGATACATAACTTTGATGGTGTTCTTAACTCAAAGAAAAATTGCATTGTAAGGGTAAGTTTATTGAAAAAAAAATTAGCAAAAATAATAAAAATTGTTCGTCATTTTTTGGGATTGAACTCCCAAACATATGGCTGAAATTCAGGAACACAAGTCAGAACATTTTTTTTTTGTTCGGGAACAAGTAACCGAACATTTCTTATTTGTTCGGGAACATATAATTGAACATTTTTAATGAACTTTTTTCAAACTTTAAAATTACAAACCTAGGTAAGATAAGAAACAAGAATTGAAACTGTCATAGAATTCAAAGAAACCCACCTGAGAGATCACAAATCCAAACTCGTGGAGATTGCATAACGCACAAAAAGGGAATTTTGAATCAGTAACAAAAAAATCCTACATTTATTTTCTTAGGTCATGAGCAAATATGTGGAGATGAAGTAGTAATCACCTTCATGTGTTTTAATAGGATTTTTGGGAGAGAGGTTTTTTGGGGTGTAGTGTGTGTATTCAATTGAATGGGTGAAATATTTTCACAAGGATAATTTTGAAATTATTTGGGGGAAGAAAATAAATTTTAAGGATTTTAGAATTTGTAAGTGGGGGTCCAAAGAAATTGGGAGTCTAAATAATTGTTGGGGTACTAATATCAGCACTCTTTTGAAAATTATTTTATACTCCGATATACTTTATTAAACGATTTATTATCAGATGTATAATATATTAACTCTTGTGTTTTCTGAAAAAAATAAAAACAAAAACTTGAGCCTTGCAAATTTAATTTGTTTTGCCATTATTTTCTTTCTTAAATGTACCACAAAAAAATAGTTTAAGAGAACTAAATAAGTAAAGTTATATTTATCAATTTTGTAAATTATATTTTTAACTATTGATTCAAATTTGATTTTGATCTTAAAATTGAACGATTTTGTTTTTTTATATTTTAAATATAGTTTCAATTTCGTTATTTTGTCTAAATAGAATGTTGAAATTAATAATTTGGAAACGGTTTTCAGTCTTTTACGCCATTTATTTGGACAGAAAACATTTTCAAATGAAAAATATTTTTTACAGAAATTTATTTTAGAAATTTTTTTTTATAATTTTTTTTTTTCTATGTTTTGTTGTTGGTGATTGTGAAATAAAGATGGACGTAGAGGTGGTGGCATGGTGGTGGGACAACAGCGATAGTGATAGCAACAGTGATGATGCTAATAGCCATGGGGATGACGGTGCGGTGGTAGAAGTGAGAGTGGCGGTGATAGTGTAGTCAGGGCCGGCCCTGAGATTTAGGGGGCCCAAGGCGACCTTCGGAAATGGGGCCTTTCTCACATTTAAAAAAAAAAAAAAAAGTTGATGGATAAATCGATAAAAATTTATTTGCACATATAATCATTAAAATTATAAACAAAAATTTACTTTCATATATTAAGATAGGAAGCAATCATTACAAATACTCAAAAAACTAAAAATCTGGTTTTGTTGCTTTATAGTTTAGCAATATCCAGTTTACAATTGAACCAACTATCACATGAACATTACTCTTCTCACATTTTTAGTTGCAAAATCACTAATGATGCTTGCATAATCAAATTTATCCATCATATCCTTTTCAATGGATAGCAATGCTAACACATTCAATCTTTCTTGTGACATAGTTGATCGAAAGTAAGATTTGATCAACTTCAACTTTGAAAAATTTCTTTCTCCAGAGGCCACTTTAACAGGTATAGTTAACAAAATTCTATACATAATCCATGCATTTGGGAAACAACCATCCATTGTTTTCAAATAATTTAATACTTCAATTGGCCTTTTGATTTCTTCTGGTAAAACTTCTTTCAAGACATTCAACTCTGAAAACAGATCTCTCCTATCAATATCAGAAAGTTCATCATGTTTCAGAAAATCTTCAAGATTAACACAATAAGTGTTCAAACATTCCTTTTTGGTAGAACTCAACTTTTTCAAATCAAACAAAAGTCCAAAATTTTCCTCATATACTTGAAATTGTTCAAACCTACTCTTAAGTGAAGAAAGAGCTTGAGCAATTATATACATAAAGTAATTAACTCTACAGGATTCTTCAGCAATCTGTGTCACCTCTTCACTGACATTCTCATCAAATTGCTTCTTTCTGCGAATGACACGCTTTTCACGAAATACTGGATCAATTTCCATTAGAGTAGCAACTTCTTTTGCCTCAATCATGGCATCCAAAAATCCAGTTTCTCTATACTTTTCAATAAAGGTAATGAGTCCTTTTAACTGAATTATAGCAACATCAATATGCATGTCTTCCCTTTGAAATATTTTGCTAACTGAGTTAACTGCAAACAATAAATTGTGCCAAATAATCATGCCAAGCAAAAATTCAAAGTTCTTAATTTCGTATGTTGTTAAAGACTCAGCTTCACTCTTTGTGTTGTGGGGTTCACCAAGATTTGCCAAATGATTTAAAGCATCTCTTTTTTGTGGAGCTTGATATCTTATTGCTTTAACACTTTCAACGCGACTTTCCCACCTTTTGTATGACAATGGCTTCAATGTGAGACCTTCCACATGATCTTTTAAAACTTTCCACCACTTTGTAGAAGATGAAAACAATAAACATATACGTTGTAACACTCCAAAAAAAAGAGATAGCTTTGGGATAATAGTTAGCCATATCACAAAGTGCAAGGTTAAGGCTATGACAACCACACGGTGTGTAGAATGCTCTAGGATTTATTTCAAGTAGCCTTTTCTGTACACCTTTGTGTTTCCCTTTTATGTTAGAGCCATTATCATATCCTTGCCCTCTTATATCACCAATATCAAGTTGGAGTGTGCACAATACCTCATTAAGTACATTAAAAAGACCCAATCCCGATGTGTCATCCACTTTTAAAAATTCTAAAAAGAACTCTTCCACCTTTACTTGATTAGTTAAAACATCCACACATCTTATTACAAGAGACATTTGTTCTTCATGACTAACATCTGGAGTACAATCAAGAATAACTGAAAAATATTTGGCTTCTTTGATTCTTTTCACAATTGTACTTTTGATCTCACCCGCTAACATCTGTATCAATTCATTTTGGATTTTGTGACCAAGATAATGGAAATGAATTTCATTCCTTTCAATGCGATGAAGGTGGTCTTGCATTACCGAATCAAATTGAGCAATCATTTCAATTAAACTCAAAAAGTTTCCATTTCTTTCTTGATAAATCTTCTCATTGTCTCCACGAAACGCTAAATTATTTTTAGCAAGAGTTCTCACAATAGCAATTATCCTTGGTAACACCTTTTTCCAATGTTCTCTCTCCCTATTGATTTGTTCCTGAACACCTGCATCAATTGTTTCATTCTTTTGCAATCTTTTTTCCAATTCAATCCATTTGCTCATACAAGTCATGTGCTCATTGCTAGTTTCATGCCTTCTAAGCCTGTAACCTAGATTCTTCCAATCTTTAAATCTATTAGTAGCCAACTGAGTCTTGTTCCCATCTTCCTTAAATAATTTATAACAAAAGCAAAATACTTTGTTTGTAGCATCTAAATATACTAGCCATTTCCTATCTTGTTTCTCTTCATTTGATAAATTTCGAATGTAATATGTAGAGGAGAAATGTCTATCCTTGTCATCTCTACGAAAATTGACAGCATTACTTCTTATAGGACCTCTTTCAACTAATAAATCTCTGAAATTCTGATCAATCTTGTCCCAATTACTTGGGTCATTAATATTTAAAGGTCCATATTCAACATTAAAATCTTCACTTTTAGTGGCTTTCTCATTCACCAAATCTTCATTGTCATTCTCATTCAAACATTCAATAGGCTCTTCAACACTCAAATCTTCATTATCATTCTCATTACATTGATTAAGTTCTTTAATTACCAAATCTTCATTAACCAAACATGAACTTTCTATTTGTTTCTTGCTACCAAAAATTTTATCAAGCGCTCCCGATTGAGATTGAATAAAATTTTCTAATTTTTGTTTCTTTTTCCTTTTTTCACATCCAGAAATATACTTCCTAGGAGGCATGACTACTCTATATAATCACAAATCTACACAAATTGACAATCACTGATCTCTGCAAATAATATACTTTCAGAATTAGAGCACAACAAAAATTATAGACTTTCACTAAAGCACATAAATTAGGTAATTTTCTAATTTAAAGAACAAATTATATAGGGCAAGAAATTAAGAGGAAAATTAGGGAGAAAATTAGGGCAACAAATTAGGGGAAAAATTAGGGCAAAAACTTCCTCCATTTAAATGTGATATATATATATATATATATAAAGAGAGAGAGAGAGAGACTCACGGTTTTGATGCCCAAAATCCTTAATGCTCAGCTTCTGTCAAATATGGAGAAGAGGAGAAGATTGAAGAATCACGGTTTCATCTTCATCAGTCCAATGCAAGAAGAGAGAGAGCAGTCCAATGCAAGAAGACTCACAGTTTCGTCAAATATAGAGGAGACAAAGATGTGTTTCATTCTTCTCAGGGCTGTGTTTCATTCTTCTCAAAGATGTGTTTCATCAAATATGCAAAGACCCATGTGAATTCATTCTGCTCAGGTGGGTATATCCTGATGTGTTTCACGTTTTTGGGGCCCATGTTCATTGAGCCTCTATTATGATATGTTTTATTATTATTTTTTTTGGCCCTACGTTCAATTGGGCTTACTATATTTGGATTTTTTTTTTATATCTAAAACAAAAAATCATATTTTGGGGCCCTATTTTCAGCCCAAATCTAGGGGCCCAAGGGCAGGCCTCTTTGGCCTGCCCTCAGGGCTGGGCCTGCAACCTTATTCTATCGATTTGATTCAGCGTACATGTTAACCAGAAGGGTGTAACACCCATTATTGTTTGGCTCCAAAACCATCAACTTATTGACAGCAACTTGAGCAATCTCCAAGTTCATGTAAAGCTTACACCCACTTAATAAAGCACCCCAAATAACAGAGTTTGGCACAATTCGCATGAACTGTATCAATTCCAATGCATCTTTGATCAAACCATCCTTACACAATAGATCAACCATGCACCCGTAGTGTTGAATTTCAAGAGGAATTTGAATTGATTTTAGTAACATGACATATTTATCATCTTCATAATATATATATATATATATATATTCTCTTTTAATCATTATTTATCTAAATAAGGATGTGAGAAATCACAGTTATTTTTTCTTTTTTCTTTTTTTCGTACTTAGATAAGAAACTCATTTTATTTCATTTATTTTTTTATCTCACGATCCAAACAAAGTGTTAGAGAGAGGAAGAGGTTTGAGGCAATCAAAATTCAAAGACCATAACAAGAAAGAAAGATTTGAGGTACAACTGTGCATTATCTTTTAGGCTCATTTTGGGACCCATTTAGATGATTTAAATTGTTCAGTTTTTAAAATATATCGAGTAAAACATTATTGTAAAAAACTAAGTTAATCAGATATCAATAATCCTCGTGGGTGTTGATTTTTGACCACACAACCAAATAGGGAAACTCAGCAGGAGAGCACTGGCAGAATAGATTAAGCCCGAACAACCTGGCACAAAAAGATAAGAATCCGGCAGTGGTTCGTCCACCCGGGGGCACTCTGACGATCAAGTCAGTAATCACTATCTTTCAAAGATAACAAATAGTGCTTAACTCACAAGACAGAGCATAAAAAGTGTACTTTAAACCCACGAAGGTGCCTTACATAGCCAACACTAACCTAGTTTCAATGGACTTTTGCTCAATGCTCATCTTGGACTCCCAACTAGATAGAGATAAACTCCCTAAGAGCTTTATCTTTATCCAAGCTGAGGTCCTCCCTTATTTTAGGACCCTTGTCCCTTATCCGCTCACCCCGGATTCTGATATCTCCGCAGACAACCTCGGCCTAACTGAGATCACCTCAGCATCAAGACCAAACCACGTGCTACCTCGGCTGACACTTCAGTGTCACTTTGGCCACGTGTTATCACTCACAAAATATGCTCCCACAATTGCCCCCTAGGTTCTATTACCTCGGCAACTTGAGGTGATGGAACCTATACCGTTTGTCCACATAGTACGTCGGCTACGTCTTACTCTATCTCTCACGACCGAGATCATCACCCATCAGCTTCAAATGACCAAGACTCTGCAGTCTACTTTATCAATGACCAAGAATCAAGAACCAAGTTCTTCAAGTTCCTTAACCGAAATCGTTCCTCTAGCCGAGGCTTTTGCTTCATTAAATCAAGAACTCCAAGAGTTTTATCTGCGTATGAGCTGTCACGCATGATTTTCTCAACTGTATCCGCCACACATCCTTCTCTCATTGATTTGTACTTGACACGCACCATTAGGTCATGTCGCTTCTGTGCACGCCGCCTGACAAGCACGTCGTCCAAGGCGTTTAATTATGTTTTGCCGCATTTTCGTGTTTTAACAAAAACTCTTTCTCTCTTTGCTTTTTCACTTTACATTATTTTACCTTCAAAATTTCTCTCTCTAACGTCTCTCTCCCAAATCGCCATTGTTCAAGCTTCTAAGCTCTACAACTGTTCTAATTACCGATGACGACGACCTTTTCATCATCTGTTTGCGACCACCCACGTCGTCTGACTCCGACGATACTCATCCTGGCGTTTGTTTCCTTGGTAAGCCACTGATTTCCTTCCTTTTCAATCTTTCACTATTCCTTTGATATGTTTCAAATCTGTTATATGCTTACATGCTATTTGTCGCCATTGCGAATCAATTTTTGTTCTTGAATTCTTGTTGTATTTTGAATCTCGTATCTGTCTGCATATTGCCTATGTTGCCACTAAACATTTATACTGCACTTTCCTCACACTTTTAAATACCATGAATCAGTTTCTTGTTCCTCAATGAAGCTTTATCACTGTGTTACTAGAATGTTTTTAGCATTGTTCTTGCCACAATTTTGTTTTGGTCTGAGTCTTGATTTATTGTTTTTGACTCTGAATTCTTCTGGTTTTGAATCATGTTCATCTTTTGTTTTGTCTTTAGATTCTTGCCTTTGATTCCTAATTCAGTATAGATTTAGGCCTTGGGTTTTGATAGAAATCACTATCTCTAGGAAAATTGAAAGGAATTCCCCTTAGATCATGAAAAACCCTAGCCCTAGTGCCAGTCTAGGGTTTAACCGAGATTCCCAAACCTATAACAAATTTTCTCTTTTGAAACTGTGCACCAATCCACCCTAAGCCGACATCATGGGAATGTTTAGGTGGAGAGTAGACACCCCAACCAAACTAGAATACTTCAAGCGAGAGTTCTCCATCCCAGCCGACGTTCAAATCTAGTTAGCTAGAGAGGATGACTCCATTATGCCTGGGAAAGATTACATGCCATTTCTCATAGTCTCCATCATTAAAGGAGGAGTCAGATTTCCCCTCAACATCCTCTTTAGGGAGGTCCTCCACTACTACAAACTGAACTCCATGCAGTTAGCTGTAAACTCTTTTAGGATTATAAACGGAATTGCCAAGTTGGAACATCGGCAGAACGCTAGGATCACCCTGTCTGATATCTAGTACTATTACACGATGTGTGGCCTTAAAACCAAGGCTGGCTATACATATTACCTCAACCCAAGATCGACTCAATATAAGCTGATAGCCGACATTCCAGACTCAAATAAAGGCGCGGCAGACGACTACCTAATTGTCTCAGGCAATTGGGAGTTCGCCTTAGATGATGAACTCCACCTCTTCCCTTTACGCCGTGAAGTTTTTAAAGATGACAAGGGTAGGGACTTAGTTTTTCTCCTTAGAGTCCCTTCTTCTATTTACTTCGTCATCATTTTGTTAATTTGTTTCTAATGTATGACCTCTTTTTGCAGCTCTTACCCAACCAGAAAAAGCCTTTCGACGATACTACACGCCGAGCAAAGACTTGGTTCGCCTTCTCAACTTGCCAATCAAACTTTGCAAGGCTACAATCCTCCTCAACTACATCCCGACATATCGTAGCCCGCTGCCCGATGTTCCTCGAAAGAGAAAATCTCCACCTTTTATAACATCTCTCCCTACTACTACTTCATCGCCAAGGCCTGATCAAGTCTCAACTTCTAATCCAACGGAGCAGCCATCAACATCTCCTTCCTACCTGATTCCTCCAGCCTAGCGACAACGCTGATGCCAAACTCCACTCTTCGCTCCTACAGGTAAAACTCGTAGCCATAAAAGCCAAAACACTGAGACGGTGGCTTACGATCTAGCAAACTCACTTACTGCACTTCTAGCAATACACTTTGGCACCAAAGTAACAGTTGCTTCCACAGCCGACGAAATGGGTCGTAAACCAACCATCGTTAAGGATCTCCTTGCCAATAGCCCCGGGGTTATGACAATGCAATCCTCGCATTCTCCATCCCAAACAAAGCCAAAGCCGAAAAGATTGAAGAAGGCCAAGGCTAAGGCCACAGTGACTCAGATTGACTCTGAGGACACTGTGCCAATTTTGAAATTGGCCGAGGTAGAGAAGAGTCAAACAGTCGTCGAGAAAAGGCTAGTCAAGGTCGATGCATCCAATTCCCAACTGCCCAAAAGGCCGAGGTCTGACCAACCTGAGGGTAGCCGTAGCTTCCTTCGCAATATGACCTGGGCTCCCGAGGTCATGGTGGATGACAGACCCCTGATAGCCAGCAACAGCGCAATGAATCTTGAAGTTGACGCAGCCCTGTTAATGGCTCTTCTTTTACTAGAAGATATGAACCGTATGGCCAAATTGCATGAATATGAAAACTTCGCCATTATGATGCAGCACTCGGTCTTGGTAAGTCTCTTTCTTACTCTTTTACAGTCTTTCTATACTTAGTCAGTTTTCACTAATCTACTTACTTCTTGCAGGCTATCCAACATGCTCATTTATACACGGTCAAGATTGAGATAACAAGAAAGGAGTTGGCTAAGAAGACTAAGGAAACTGCCAAACTCCTTACCTCATTCAATTATGCCGAAGCCAACAATCGAGCCCTGTTGGATCAAGCCAAGACTTCCAAAGCTGCTCAAGATTTGGCCGAAGAAAAAGCCAAAATGTCCAATGCTGAAACCAAGGTCGCTAGAGCCGATCTTGAGGCCGCCAAGGCCAAGGCAACTGACTTAGAGGCCAAGCTTCAAGAGACCCTTGACTCCAAGGAGGCCGAGGTAAAGACGACCGATGAAAAGGCTTATGAAGAAGGATAGGCTGTCGTCTGTGACCAGTACAAACAGCAAGTCAACTTGGCTTGCAACCGAGGTTATTACCTTGGTTGAACAGTGGCGCTCAACAAGTTATCAGTTCCAATGAACTCTGACCTCCGAGACATCAATTAACTTCAAGTGCTTTTCCCTTCAGAGCCCAAGGACTCTGGAGATAAATCCGATGAAGATGATGCTGAAGATGGTGATGCTGATGGAATAGAGGAGGAGGAGGCTGCCACTGATGCCAAGTCCTCCACCCTAAATAAGCAAGTCCTTGTCTTGTCTGAAGATAAGGAGGATAGCTTGGCTTCCAAGGGTGTCTCCCCCAAACCAACCACTTCTGAGGCCAAGGTCCAATGCGCCGAAAAGAGTTTGGATCAAACTCTGCTTGAAATAGACGCCGAGATAGCGACGGAGAAGAATGCAACATTGCCAACTGAGGCTGATACAACTCCAACTGCCGAGGTTGAGCAATCACAGACCAATCCTAGTACTTAGAACATTTCATCTATTTTGTTTTCTTTCTTTTTTTAGTTGTACCTCTATTCTGTCTGAACAATGTTTAGCTTGAAATTTGGCCGATGTGCCCCTTTTGTAATTGAACAAGTAATCTTTTTCTTAAATGTAAGTCTGATTTCTTTTTCCAAGTGTTGTATGCCTTCTTTTCTTTTATATATGTTTACCACTTCCATACTTAGAATAATTTTTCATTTCTTCAAAGTATACCTTAGCTGTATAATGACTACGAATATAATACCTCGGATATAAATCTTGAATGTTTTCCTCAGCCAACCATTAGAATACCTCAACTAACACTTAAAATATCAAAATATTTTTACAAGTGTTATTCAGTATCACTTTTTACCTTCATATGTTATCTTTTTAGACTTTACCCTTTCCAAGTTTGGACGACCTGGTTGGTTACCTCGGGTAAGATGTATCTTGAGTACTTTATTTGTAATTATCTCGGCTAACTCCAATTTGTAAATTTCTGAGAAATTTTAACAAGTGTTAAGCCTGTTCTAACTTGTAAATTTACTCTTGCTCTCAAGTTTATTTTATCACTCTTATCTCCTGTCCCCTAATGTGAACCTAAGTTTCACTTAAATTCACATTAAGCACATATAGTCTTTTGCCGAAGTCAGATTCAAACAAAGACTTGCCGAGATTCTCAACCTTAGTTTCTCTATTAATCTAACTGAAATGCACTTAGTTCCATTCTAAGTTTAATTCTGTCGACATAGTAAGTCTAGTTTCAATTCAACTTAGTTCAACTCTATTATATGCAAATATAATTCAACTTCACCATATAATAAGTCTAAATTATTCGTCATGTTTCAATCAGAAATATCGCCAACTTCGTTCAACTATATTATATGCAAGTATAATTCAACTCTGCCATATAATAAGTCTAAGTTATTCGTCATGTTTCAATCAGAAACATAGCCAACTTAGTTCAACTCTATTATATGCAAGTATAATTCAACTCTGTCATATAATAAGTCTAAGTTATTTGTCATGTTTCAATTAGAAACATCACCAAAGGACTGGTCAGTCCTATTACACAAATTTCAAAATCAAGCTAAAATTTTATTATTATTTCGGCTAATGACATAAATTTTGAAAAAATAAAAATCTAATGATAGAAAAATTTCAAGTTGCAAGTGTTCCAAGGTCTTGGTAACTTTTTGCTCTCATTGTCTTCAAGCCGATATGCCCCATTGCTGGTGACTGAGATAATTCTATAAGGCCCCTCCCAATTTGGGTCAAGCTTGCCCTCCCAGGATCCTTCTTGTTACTTACTACTTTCCTTAGCACAAGGTTCCCAACTTTGAATTCTCTTGGGTTGATCTTCTTGTTGTAAGCCCTAGCAAGTTGTTGCCGGTATGCCCCTAGCTGAATTGCTGCTCTTTCTTTTTTCTTCTTTAGAAGGTCTAGATCTCAGGCTAGAAACGCTTTGTTAGTATTATTTTCTACTCCCTGGGTTCTGATCCCTGGAATGCCCCGACTTCTAGTGGGATAACTGCTTTAATGTCATAGGCCATGGCGAATGGAGACTCCCCAGTTAATCTTCTCGGCGTAGTCCGATATGTCCATAGTACATTGGGCAATTCCTCCATGCATTTTTCCTTTGCTGCTTCCAACCTCTTTTTGATCCCATCTAAGATAGTCTTGTTAGATTCTTCTGCCTGACCATTGTTTTGAGAAAAGCATGGAGTAAAGTAGTAGTTCTTGATTTTGTACTTTGCACAAAAGCCTTTGATTAGTTTGATGTCAAACTGCGTACCATTGTCTGCTATTATTACTCTTGGGATCCCAAACCTAGTGATGATATTCCTCCATATGAAGTTCTTCACATCAATATCCCGAATCTTCGTAAGGGGTTCAGCTTCTACCCACTTTATGAAATAATCAGTTGCTACCAGTAGAAATTTCCTTTGCCCAATTGTTTGGGCCAGTTGTCCAACAAGATCCATGCCCCACTAGGCAAATGGCCATGGGCTGGATACTGAGTTCAAATCTGTTGTTGGTTGATGTATCAAAGGTGCAAACATTTGACACTTCTCGCACTTTCTGACATAGGCTTTAGCATCCTTCTGCATGTAGGGCCACCAGTACCCTTGAGTAATGGCCCTATGAGCAAGTGACCTGCCTTCAGCATGGCTTCCACATACTCTTTCATGTATTTCATACAACAAGTCTTCAACGTGGAAGGGATGCACACATCTCAAAAGGAGACCAGTAAAAGACTTTCTGTAGAGATGTCCTTCTGCTGTTAGGCTAAACCTAACTGACTTCAGTCTGGTCTTGTGTGCTTCTTTGCGATCATCCGGTAACTTGTCATCCCTAAGGAACATTACTATTGCATCCATCCAACTTGGACCCATCTCCACGCACATTACTTCATACTCTGTGATTAGTGGTTCCACACTTAGGCCTGACAAATAATCAACCATTATTGTCCTTGCTTTCCCTGATTTTATTGCACTAGCCAGGTTAGCCTAGACATCGGTGTGGCTGTTGTCATCTCGACTAATTTGGTTTAGTCGATAACCCTAAAACAAGGCTAATAGTCTAACAACTTCTTTGACATAGGCTATCATTCTTTCATCTTGGGCTGTATACTCGCCTGTTGCCTGGTTCACAATGAGTTGAGAGTCACAGAAGACTACCACCTCGTCGGCTTCCATTGCTGCTGTTAACTTCAACCCTGCGATTAGTGCCTCATATTCTGCTTCATTATTTAAGGCCTTGAACCCCAAACGAATAGACTGCTCCAGCATTTGCCCATCTGGTGATACTAACACTACGCCTACCCCCGCTCCTTGATGGTTTGAACTCCCATCAACAAACAAGCGGAAGGAGTCGCTGATGTAAATATCGTAGGGCTTGATTTTCTCTTATTTCTTCTGCTCTGCTGTGGGGTTTTTCATTCCCAGCTAGGTCTCTTCTTGTTCCCCTGGACATCCTAAGCCGCGGCTCACCGGAGCCTGACGTGGGATGGCACCAGATGTGAACTCGGTTACGAAGTCGGCCAGAACCTGGCCTTTGATTGCTGTTCTAGGTCTGAACTCTAAATCGTATTGGCCCAATACCACTGCCCATCTGGCCACCCTTCATGTTAGATCTCCTTGTTATAGCAGGGACTTCAAAGGGTGCTCAGTCAATACCACAATCTTGTGGGCTTGGAAATAATGGTTTAACTTCTTGGAGGCCATCATTAAGGCCAATGTCAATTTCTCCAGGGGTAAATATCTGGTCTTTGCGCCTGCTAGCATTTTACTCACATAGTATACTGCCCTTTGTTTCCCATTCTCTTCTCTGATTACCACTACACTCACTGTATGCTCCGAAACCGCCAAGTATAAGAACAGTTCCTCTCCAGGTCCTGGATTTGAGAGAACTAGAGTTGTGGTCATATATCTTTTCAAGTCGACCAAGGCGACTTCGCATTCCTCTGTCCACAAGAAATCTGTGGCCTTTTTCAACAGACTGAAAAATGGTTTACACTTATTTGAATTTCTGCTTATAAATCTGTTCAGGACTGTGGCCCTTCCAGTCAACATCTGCACTTGTTTTGCCAACGTTGGGCTTTTCAAATCCAGGATGGCCTTGATTTGATCTGGGCTTGCCTCAATGCCCCTTCGGGTAACCAAGTATCTCAGGAACTTGCCAGACTCGACTCCAAATACGCATTTCGAAGCATTGAGTCAGAGCCAATATGTCTTCAAGATGTCAAAAACTTTCTTTAAGTCGGCTAGGTGATTCTCAGGCTCTTTGGTTTTCACAACCATGTCATCAATGTATACTTCCACTGTTTTGCCAATTAGATGTCTGAACATCTTAGTCACCAACCTCTGGTAGGTTGCTCTTGAATTTTTTAACCCAAAAGGCATCACTCTATAGCAATACAGCCCTTTTAGGGTGATAAATGCAGTCTTCTCTTCATCGGGGGGATACATTGGTTTCTGGTGATATCCCCTGTAAGCATTCAGGAAGCTCATCCTTCTATGTCCCGAAGTGGTATCCACCAACTGGTCAATTTTGGGGAGTGAAAAACTGTCCTTGGGGCAAGCCTTATTCAGGCTGGCGAAATCAACACAAACCCTCCATTTGCCATTCTTCTTTTTCACTACCACAGTGTTGGACAGGCAAGTAGGGTAGTTTACTTCGTGAATGGTCTTGGCTTCCAGCAGTTTGTCCATTTCTTTCTCAACTGCCTCAACATGCATTAACGTTAGCCTCCTCACTCGCTGGATGACAGGTTTAGCCGACCTGTCTACATTGAGCATATGGCATGTGACCTTGGGATCAATGCATGCAAATCGTAGAGCGTCCAGGCAAACACCTCTATGTTTGCTCGCAAGAATGCTTCTAACTCCCTTTCTTCTTCCTTAGCTAATCCTGAGTCGAGAAGGAAGAAGCGTTCTTCATTATCTTGTTGAACAAGAACCTTCTTCAAGGCTTCCTCGCTTTTGTCAGCTGGCTCTTTGCCGACGTCATCCGGGACCTCCATGTCTTCGTCATCAATTTCTATTGTCTCTGACTCTCGCACGTTACAGATGGATTTCATTACTTCCATAGAACAATTCTTTGCTTGCACCTGATCTCCTCTGACCTCCTCAATTTCGTGTTCTGTTGGGAACCGCAACAACTGGTGCAGTGTTGAGGGAACAACCTTCATTGAGTGCAACCATGGCCTTCCTAAGATGACATTGTAAGGAGAAGAGGTGTCAATTACTGTGAACTCTGTGCTTACCTTCTTAGTGTCTGCCTGTACTTCCAAATTTATTGCCCTTAGGGGCCTTGTCAACGTTCCATTGAACCCGACCATCAGGCTGTTGAACTGCTCCAAATCATTTCGGTGAAGGCTGAGCTCCTTGTAACATCTGACATACATGATGTCATAAGAGTTACCTTGGTTAATCAGAATGCGCTTTACCTGGCATTCTCCAATCTTGAGGGATATCACTAGAGCATTGTTGTGTAGATGTTGTACCATATCTAGGTCGGCCTCAGTAAAAGACACCATTGGTCCCTGGTACTCGTCTGTCCTAGGCCTCTTTTGCTGGACCTGATACACATGTTGTAATGTTTCACCCTCTGGGTCTCCCTATGTACCTCATTCTCATTGACCCTCGAGTGAATCACATTGATCACTCGAGGTCCGTCTGCTTGTGATTGCGGTGCTGGTAAAGGTGGTGTTGCCAGTGCCTGGGACAATCTTGCCTGTTCTTCCCTCGTTTTGCCCTCACCTACCAAGTCCCTCAAGTAGCCTTGTCTGACCAGATCTTCCAAATGCACCTTTAGGGCTCTACAACCCTACATCAGGTGTCCATCTTCGTTGTGGTAGGCATAGTGCTTCCCCAAACTTCTCCACATAAATTCTAGGGATCCTCTCCGACGTTCTGTAATACGGCTGGTTCCTGATCCTTTCCAAGACTTTATAAACTGGGATCCGGAACACGGTGGTCATTGCCTGTGCAGCCCTCAGTCCTGTTTCTTGTTTACTAAAATTTGTATTACCCCGGCCTCGCTTCGGCGAGCCGTTTCTCTTCTCCTGCTTTGACGCCTTCATTCCTGGCATGTCTTCTTTGGCTCTCGCATATTTCTCAATCCTGGCCATGAGCTCCTCCATACTTTTCAACAAAGTCTTTGCCAGTGACTTTCGAAGTATGTAGTCATCGTTCAGGCAGTTCTTAAAAGATACGACCGCTAACTCTTGGTTGCACCTTGGTATTCGGTTAAACCCCTCATAATACTTTTTGGCATAAACCCTGATTCTTTCATCCTCACCAATTCTCAGAGCTATCAGGGAGTCTATCCTCAATGGCTGCAACTTGTTTGTAACAAACCTGGCCACAAACATCTTGGTCAGGCCTTCCCATCTCTTTATAGTTCCTTTCGGCAACTTGTGAAACCAATCCGACGCGATTTCCCCAAAGGATGAGGGGAACACTTTGCATAGCAGCAGCTCGTTCCCGGTGTACAGTGCCATTGAATTCAGGTACAAGCTGACGTGAAAATTCAGATCGGACTTACCGTCATATATCTGGAACCTCGGCATGTGAAACCTTTTTGGGGCCTCGCATTTATCTAATTCTATTGAGAACGACATTCTTGGCTTGACTAGAGATGTGACCTCGGCATCTTGTCGCTTCCTCTGGAGGTAATTCCTCAAATCCTCCTTAGTCCGTCCAGGAGCTCGGTTGTCAACAGATTTCAGTCTTTTTAGTGCGCTGCTCCTGGTGTCGTTATGAGTCCTCTTGGACATCTTTTCATTCATCGTGTCAAAACAAAGCTTCTTCTCTTGAACATGCCGATGTTCCTTGACATAAGTTTCCTTGGCACGAGGTGTCCTTTGTGATTCTCCTCTTATTGACTCTGCTCGCCCATTCTTTCACTTTGTCATGCTGAGGGACTGTTAGAATTGCTTTCTGCCCCCTTTTCTGGGCATCGTTCTTTGCCGCTGGAATCGGCGTATCTTCCAATGGAAACGGTGGCTGCATGATGTCGTTTTGCATCATGTAGTTGACAACTGATTGTAGGTCTGCCAACTTGTTTATCATTCCCTTCATCTCGTCGTCTCTCCTCTGGTATCTATCTTTCCATACTTGGAGGTCGCTTTCATTGTAATACCCGCCTTGACATGCTTTCTTCGGTGCGTCTCCCTCTTGGCCGACGTCCTTTTCCCCGGAATTCTGATCTCGAGGTTCTTCATTACAGTTGTCCTCTCCAATGTTAGGATCGGCGTTTTTACCACTCCCACTAGGGATGTCACCTCCAATATTTTCTTTCTGCCCGTCGTTAGCCATCTATTCTCCTTACGTTTCCTACAAACGGTGCCAAATTGTGGGTGTTGATTTTCGACCACTCAACTAAACAGGAAAACTCAGCATGAGAGCACCGGGAGAATAGATTAAGCCTAAAAACCTGGTACAAAAAGATAAGAATCCGGCGGTGGTTCGTCCACCTGGGGACACTCCGACGATCAAGTCAGTAATCACTATCTCTCAAAGATAGCAAATAGTGTTTAACTCACTAGACAGAGCATAAAAAGCATACTTGAGATGCACGAGAGTGCCTTACTTTTATAGCCAGCACTAACCTGATCCCTGTAGAAACCTAGCTTCAATGGACTTTTGTTCAATGCTTATCCTGAACTCCCAGCTAGATAGAGATAAACTCCCTAAGAGTTTTATCTTTATCCGGACTAAGGTCCTCCTTTGTTCTAAGACTCTTGTCTCTTATGCGCTCATCCCAGATTTCGATATCTCTGCAGACAATCTCGGCCTAACCGAGATCACCTCGGCATTAAGACCAAACCACGTGATACCTCGGCTAACACTTTGGCGTCACCTTGACCACATGTTGTCACTCACAAAATATGCCCTCACAAAATTTGAGGCAATCAAAATTCAAAGACCATGACAAGAAAGAAGGATTTGAGGTGCAGCTGTGCATTATCTTTTAAGCTCATTTGTGGACCCATTTAGATGATTCAAATTGTTCAGTTTTTAAAATATATCGAGTAAAACATTATTGTAAAAAATTAAGTTAATCAGATATCAATAATCATTTTCATCAATTCATATTTATATCAAAAAAATGAAAGGTAAATATAATTTGAACTATAAAACTAAACATAAATATGATTTAATAAATAAATTCTGAATTTAATTTTTTGTCTATGAGACATTCTTGTAAAATTATCATCTCCGGAAATCAAAAAAGGTTCCCAGAAAATGTCGATCAGCCCAATGTATCTCAATTTCCTATTGTTATGTAACTCTCAAAACATTTACTGGGTTTTATTTATTGTTTTAATGCCTACTGCCACTAATAGTGATGACAGTAAATAATTATTGGTTATTGTGTATAATATCCACAGAGTGTTCATTAAATTTCATTCTTCTAATTAACGAGCTACACTCATGATAGAAAAATGAATTGTTTGAAAGAAGAACTAAAATTTGCAATTAAAACGTTTCTATGTTATTTATCACTTTTGATCATAAACAAAAACATAGCATACCAAAAGTGCATTATTTTTATTTTCTTTTTAATTCATGAAAATATTTAGCGTTTTCCTTGACTAATTCTATAGAAATATAGTACTCATTCTACTTATACGGGTAATTATTCAGCGTAAACCTCAAGAGTAGACTTAAAAAAAATTGGAAAATAAAACTATTAATTATGAGAATTATATAACCTTACCAACTAAAACAACCAAGTTGACTAAACAAAAATACATTCTAAAATTAAGAAGATGGGCAACTGGATGGATAGGTCTATATATGTGTATATATATATATTTTTTTTCTTTTACTATAGATTTTAGTTGCGTCCACATAACAAATATTCTTTTAATGTTTTTTTTTTAATCAAATAAATAGAGTTTTATTTATATATAAAGGTTGTTGGCTGTACACCGTGGCATAGTCATCTCGACGTTTAATTATTAAAATATTAATTTTTTTGTAAATTTTGTTTAATGAAAATAGACAAATAGATTATATTGAAAAAGAAATATTTTGTTATAATGTTTGAATCATATATATATATATATATATTGTAATTAGTTGCGTCCACATAACAAATATTCTTTTAATGTTTTTTTTTTAATCAAATAAATAGAGTTTTATTTATATATAAAGGTTGTTGGCTGTACACCGTGGCATAGTCATCTCGACGTTTAATTATTAAAATATTAATTTTTTTGTAAATTTTATTTAATGAAAATAGACAAATAGATTATATTGAAAAAGAAATATTTTGTTATAATGTTTGAATCATATATATATATTGTAATTTTTCCTACCTTCAATTATAAAAAAATGTTAGATAGGTGCACAATAAAAAATAAATAAAAATAAAAAAAGAGAATTTTATTATACACACCCATACTATATGCACTGTTAGTTACGTCATTTTCTTTTTTAATTATGACTAATTTTTTTAAATTATAATATTATTTTAAAATATTTAATTATGACTTTTTTATATTTAATTATAATTTTTTATTAATTTTAACTTAAAAAGTATGAAATTATATTATTTATTTTTTATAATTATAAACTACATATCATACACATCCATAATCTTTCCCACTGAAAAATTATAAGATAGGTGGCAGAGAAGGGCATCATACAAATGGTACAGGCAGGCAGGCAAACACATCGGAAGTGACGGTGCATGTATCGGTGATACCGAACACTAATGTTATGACAAAGAATAATACGATATTTACATATTTTTATTCATAAATTTATTTATAATATTGTAACATGTTAGTTAGTTCTATTATTATTAAGTGTGTAATAAATTAAAAATTAACATATATTTTATTTACATTATTGTAGGAGCATCTCTAATGCATCCTCTATATCTTAATATAGAGGATCCTTTGAAAAAATTCACTTCAACCCATCCTCTATATCCTCCTCCATTTGGGAGGATGGATGTTTCATCCTTCAAATTTGAAGGGAGTATGAAAAATGAAGGATCATCTCTATAATACTATTCATTCTATTTTTTTATTATATTACAAATGACTTTTAATATATAAATTTAATTTTTATAAAATTGACATCATTAAAAAATATGAAATCATACCTTTAAAATGAGTATAATATTAAATATATTTGACAAAAATTTTAAAATTAAATATTTGTTAATGAACAAAAATTATCTTTTGATGAAGGGAAGATGAAGGGTTTTGAAGGTTTGTGGTTGGAGTTTGAATAAATAGTAACATACTCTATATTTACTTTTTGAATAAAAAAAATTATTTTTATCCTCTTGATGAGAGGATTGGGTTGGAGATGCTCTAAATAAAATTATGAATACTTTTTTTTGAATCTCAAATATTTTTCTATGGGGGATAGGGTGGGCTCCACCATTTGAGAATTTAATTGATTAACAGAATATTTAGTTTGTATTTGAGAATTAATTTTTTAAAAATTTTTTACAAGAAGATGTGCAAAAATAGTGATGATAATTTAACAACTTGTAATAATCTTTTTTTTTAACTGTTTTAATTCCTTCCAAAATGGAGGCTTAAGGAGAAATTATTTAATATTCTTGGGACGTGATTAGGTGGCATCGAAGAATATTATAATTGGTAGAGAGAATAAGAACCGTGATTTGATATTGGGTGATGGGACATGGCATTTGATGATTAATGAGAATATTGTCCCATGATATTTCAAAACCACTTAATAAATTTTTTTTATTTAAGGATGGGTTAAAAAAGTTAATATGTTTAGAAAATTGTTACAAAAAAATACTTATTTTTTTAATTAAAAAATTAACGTTATTTTTAAGTTGATGACAAACAATCTAATTTTTTTTTTACTTTTTAATTTTTTTTTTTAACAAAAAGTTGACTTTTTTAGCATTACCTCAACTCACAACTAAGGTTGTTAAGATCGGGATCCTACACAGGATTGTTTTGGAAGTCCGTCGGATCGGATCGTAAGATCGGATCGAGGATCATAAGATCCTACTAAAATGATAAAAAAATGTAATAATTTTTATATGACTAAATAATACTATCAAAATATATATAGAATAAGCAAAAAAAAAAATATATATATATATAGCAATTCAATGCAGCATTCAAACATATTTTTTTTTCAAAAAAAGAAGTCAGAAACATAATAAAACCAAATACCAATACTTGCACACCATTGTCATTGTTTCTTAATGAAAACAAAACAAACTAAATAAAGGAAGAACAAATAAAAACTACAATAAGTCATCATTGTCGCCGAAATTATCATCATTATTGCCACAATCAGCATTAATCATTGCCACATCATCATCATCGTCGTCGTCGTCGTCGTCGTCACCACCCATGGTGCCATCCAAGTCCTCAATGTCTTCACCGATAGTAGCATCTTCAAAGTCATGATCAAAATCCCTTCGAACATCCATGTTTTGATCCATAGCATCATCATCACTTACTTAATGAACTTCATCATTTTCCCTACCAATATGATCACGACCTAAGTTGGAATAAACAAAAAAATTAAAAGTAAAATTAAAGTTATAATTTCTAATTAAAATTAAAAGATGTGTACATAAACTTACAAGCTTCTTCCAAATTCCTTGCAAAGGCCTCCACTTCGTCTTCATCTGAATTACATCCATGTCGAGCATTCCTATCAAGCACACTCAACCAATTTCCTTCTCTTGGAAAAGTTGGAGTCTCTCTCTCTGTTATCCATTCATCATCTGATGGAATATCATCCAAACATAATAAATTCACGATTGCTTGTCTATTCATGTGTTGTTGTCTCAATTTCAAATTGTACATGACAAACACCAAGTCATTCATTCTCTTTTGGTGCAAACGATTCCTCCGCTTTGAATGTACCATCTGAAAAGCACTCCAATTTCGCTCACACCCCGATGAACTGCACGTTAAACTTAATATCCTAATTGCAAACCTCTTCAACTTAGGGCATTCATTACCAAAAGAGTCCTACCAATCAGCTACATGAAAATTTAGTTATAAATTTAAAATTGATGAAGTGAAAACAAATAATAAGATATTAAAAATGATACAAATCAACTTATAGTAAAAATAAAAAAACACCTGGAGATTTCTTTTTTCTAGTCATGATTGCATTTTGTATGCCAAAGAGCCCTCTTGCACTCTTGAATGCATCAATTTGCAAATCTATCTTCACCCTCTCATTAGCATCAGGAACCATTCTTTCAAGACATTTGTATAGCCCAATTTTAACCTCCGCATCGGGCTGAAAATTGGGACTGTAATGAAATTGAGGGTTCAAGAAGTATGCTGCAGCATGCAATGGGTGATGGAGTTGGGATTCCCATCTTCTATCAATGATGGTCCATATAGGATCATAGCTAACACCATTAAATAAAGAGTATTAATGAACAAATAAAAAGTTTAGAGAAAGATAATAGTAAAGTAAATAAGTTTAACTAAATAAAAGTTTACCATGAGAAAACATTATTGAAATTGCTTTGAATTTCCTCTTTCGCACGGTCTATTGCCTCGTAAATGAATCCCATCGCCAGATGGTCATCCAAATCCACCAATCTAAGTACTTTAATGAGAGGTACTGCAGCCTTCAAGCACATAGAAACGCCCTTCTAAAAAATACGATTATCTAAAACAATATCTTCAATTTTTTTACCCTTTTCAGACTTTGCAAATCGACTATTCCTCCACTTGGATGATGTAAACAAAGAAAACAATGCACCCTTTTGCTCATGAAGGCGCCTCAAGGTCAAGTAAGATATGGCAAATCGTGTTACCGCGGGCCTAATAAGTTCAATACCTTTTGTGAACTCCTCCATCTAATTAATAAGATTTGTTCTTGAATAAATGTATGCCACAATTCTTTTTCCTTTTTTAATTGTAACTCGATGAAGTTGGATTTGATTCTCAAAATCCTCTAACATCAAATCTATGCAATGAGCAGCACAAGGTGTCCAAAATAAGCTCTTCCTCTTATCCATTAGCATTTCTCCCGCCAACTTATAATTAGAAGCATTATTGGTCACCACTTACACAACATGCTCCACTCCAGCCTTTTCAACAATCTCATCCAACATCTCAAAAACCTTTTCACCGATTTTTGAAATGTCGGATGTATTCAATGACGATAGAAAGATAGTTCCATTAGGGCTATTGGCAAGAAAATTACAAATTGATCTTCTCTTTCTATTCGACCATCCATCAGACATAATTGTACACCCGGTCTTCTTCCATTGTTCCTTGAACTCATCAAGTAATTGCAATGTCTCTTGCACTTCTTTTTTTAAAAATGTCACCCTAATTTCATGGTAAGATGGTGGCACAAGGCCTTTTCCATAATCTCCAATTTTCTTAACCATAAGTGGAAATATAGGGTTGTTGACACAATTAAAAAGAATTGCACTAGTGTAAAAAAACCGGGCAATTGTTTGACAAACATCATCTCTCTCTTCTTTCTTAAATAATTGATTGATAGTTTTTTTGAACAAATAAAAAGTTTAGAGAAAGATAATAGTAAAGTAAATAAGTTTAACTAAATAAAAGTTTACCATGAGAAAACATTATTGAAATTGCTTTGAATTTCCTCTTTCACACGGCTCATTGCCTCGTAAATGAATCCCATCGCCAGATGGTCATCCGAATCCACCAATCTAAGTACTTTAATGAGAGGTACTGCAGCCTTCAAGCACATAGAAATGCCCTTCCAAAAAATATGATTATCTAAAACGATATCTTCAATTTTTTTACCCTTTTGAGACCTTGCAAATCGACTATTCCTCCACTTGGATGATGTAAACAAAGAGAACAATGCACTCTTTTGCTCATGAAGGCCTCTCAAGGTCAAGTAAGATGTGGCAAACCGAGTTACCTCGGGCCTAATAAGTTCAATACCTTTTGTGAACTCCTCCATCTAATTAATAAGATTTGTTCTTGAATAAATGTATGCCACAATTCTTTTTCCTTTTTTAATTGTAACTCGATGAAGTTGGATTTGATTCTCAAAATCCTCTAACATCAAATCTATGCAATGAGCAGCACAAGGTGTCCAAAATAAGCTCTTCCTCTTATCCATTAGCATTTCTCCCGCCAACTTATAATTAGAAGCATTATTGGTCACCACTTGCACAACATGCTCCACTCCAACCTTTTCAACAATCTCATCCAACATCCCAAAAACCTTTTCACTGATTTTTGAAATATTGGATGTATCCAATGACGATAGAAAGATAGTTCCATTAGGGCTATTGGCAATAAAATTACAAATTGATCTTCTCTTTCTATTCGACCATCCATCGGACATAATTGTACACCCGGTCTTCTTCCATTGTTCCTTGAACTCATCAAGTAATTGCAATGTCTCTTGCACTTCTTTTTTTAAAAATGTCACCCTAATTTCATGGTAAGATGGTGGCACAAGGCCTTTTCCATAATCTCCAATTTTCTTAACCATAAGTGGAAATATAGGGTTGTTGACACAATTAAAAGGAATTGCACTAGTGTAAAAAAATCGGGCAATTGTTTGACAAACATCATCTCTCTCTTCTTTCTTAAATAATTGATTGTTAGTTTTTTGATTTTGATGCTGAGACTTATTCACTACAAATTTATTCATACGCCCATAATATTTTTGTTTGTTTTCATAGCCACCGGCATGCAATAATTCCACTTTTTCATCAAAATCATCATCACCAACATCAAGCATTCTCTTTTTTTTATTTTGAGACTCCAATGTTTGAGTTCTCAAAAGACTCATAAATTTTTCCCTAACATCTTCCGGAACTTGGAGACATGGTTCAACATTTTGATGAGTGCATGCCAAATGGTGTTTTAATCGATATATTTCTCCAGAACGAGTAACATTACAATATTTGCATTTTACCTTTTTGCTTGCAGCATCCACTTCAATGTCGTGTTCCCAACCAGGATCAGATCTGTGACTAGCAACATTTTTCCTTTTCCTCCCTCTTCTTAAACCAGAGGCTGACATTCCTACAATTGCAAATTGTAAACATTAAAAGAAATTCCAAGCCCATGTAAAAATTGCAAATTGTAAAAAGGCTTTAAACAAACAAACCATCATTTGGCAAATTGTAAAAAGGCACAAGACAATTCATGTTTTTTTGATTAGCAATCCTATTTTGCCTTTCCAATGAAAGAACCAATGGTGTTTAACAAGATTAAGTAAAATGAATCTTACAATGATTTAATTTCCATTCCCAGGAGCTAATGAAAACAACAGTAGCATTATAATTTATAGCATTGCAAGCAGCAAAGAAGAAGAAGGAAAATTAAAGAAGAAAAAAAGAAAAGAAAAAAGAGAAACAGAGCCAAAATAAGAGAAATAGAGCCAAAAAAATATATTTTTTTTAATGATTACTCGATTGAATGTTTCTTGAGACAGTTTTTACTTAGCCAAGCATGTCAGCATGTGGAAGACTACCTTTTATGTCTCATACATTGCATTAGCATTTTTTGTTAAACAGAATGACAGATGCTACCTCATTTAGCAATTAATCTCAATTGCCTCAAGCAAAAGGTTATTTACAGTCTTATACAGAGCAAATATATATATAATTTATATATAAGAGAAACATACAGAAATATATATATATATATATAAAATATAATTTACAGAAACAAAAATAAATAAATAAATAAATAAATAAGAGCAAAAAAAAATATCGAAGAAGTGATTCAGTGAAGAAAGAAGAAAAGATCAATGAAGAAAGAAGAGCTGCTGAGCAGCGAAGAGAGGAAGAACAGTCTTCATAGAAAAAAAAAAGCAGCAGACCTGGAGTCGCAGCAACAGCAGCGAAGAAGAGAGAGGAAGAATGAGAAGAAGAAAAAGAAGAGAAAGCAGTGTACCTGGAGTCGCAGCAGCAAGTCAGGCTTCTTCGTTTGATGTTGAATCTCTCTTTTCCCAATTCGTATTGCCCTAATCGCAGTAGGTCAAGCTTCTCTATTGCTTTGCTTCTCTGCTTTTCTCATTTTAGCTCTCGATTTTGCTTTTAAGTTGCCAAAAAAATCTTTCAAATCTGGATCGCATAGAGTCACGATCCAGATGCAATCCTAACGATCCCACCACGATCCTAATCTGGGGTCGATCCGATGTACGAGTCGGATCAAATGGTGTATATTGGGTCGTAAGATCGTACGATTCTACGATCCGGATCGCAATCTTGACAACCTTGCTCACAAAAAAAAATTTACAAAATGAGATAGAAAGTTTGTTTCATATGTTGACTTCAAGTTTTGTACCTGTCTCATTTTGTAACAACATTATGTGTTCTTCTTTTTGATAACTTGGTGTTCAGATTAGCTTGTGTGAACATAATTATCTAAGTAATATATAAATTTTGTTATAATTTAAAACAATGTTTCTATTTGTACATAAATTAATTAGACATAATCTTCTTATATAAGATCACTTTATTGGATAAGTCATGTCTTTTTTTATAATCAATTTCGATGTTATTTAAATGTCAACCGTGGAATCAAGACTGCTATGGTCACCAATAATTCAACATTCTCCTTTCGTATATGAAGAGAATAATCAGTAGCATCTAATTTATTTAAGGGGAGGTGTTTGGGTGTGTAAAGTTCATACCATATACACTTGCGTAAATTTTCACAAATATACATAAATTACCTTTCAAAATCTCTTAAGTTCTCACAAATATACGTAAGTTGTGATTTATCAAATTATTATGAGTTAACTTACATATGTTTGTGAAAGCTTATGCAATTTTATAAAATAACCTATGTATATTTGTGAAAACTTATATAAGTGCATATAGTATGTATTTGCACACTTAAAATTGCTCGTAAAGAGTTAAAGAAAACATATTTTTTGATTGGTGGAGAGTTGCAAGGTCCATAAAATAAGCAAATTTATATTTTTTGATATAGGTGGCCCATATTCTCCATCAATTATAAAGAATGCTTTATTCACACACATTTTTTTGTCGAATTTTAAATAAAAGTTAGATTTAAAAGTAAATTGGAAAAAAATTTGAAACATGAATGGTCAAGTCAAGGTGGAGAAAAAAATTTATGGGCAAAAGTGAGAAAATAAGCAAATATAAAGGGGGCAGAATGTAATTTACCCTTTATTTTCTTTAGTTGTAGAATCCCATTTATGTGGACCAGCCCACATGTGCATGTCATAACACAAAGGAGAAAAGCCTGCAAACACAAGGCCCAAACTTGATGGACCTTCTCAGTACCAACTTTCAGCCATTTTGCTGAGTGTAGTTTGTCTGAGGTATACCTTGGGCATTGTAGCACAGAGCCTAGTAAGATTTTGTGATGGGCTTGGGCCCAAATTGTGGGAGTTGAGGTCGTTTGGGGACCATCAACGTGTTTAAGGAAGTGAAGAACTTTGAAGATGTCAAATTTACAATCTCAAAATACATATATAAAAAATAAAAATAAAAATAAAAATAAAAATAAAAACAATATAAAATGATGTGATAAGTTTTGATTTCCTTACTTTAAAGTAAAGTAAAACATCTATCAAAACAACTTATATTTTAAAAAATGCTACTATCTCTATCACATATTTTATATGATGAATTCTATATACAATTTTTATAGGCATGTCACCTCCCAAAATTTAAAAACCGAGTCCTCATCTTTGAAATCTTTTTTTATATGAACTAGATTTAATATGAATTTAATGTCAACAAGTAGCGCTAATTTTTTCTTTTGCTAAAGGGTTAACTCCCGAATCCTAAATTCGTCTTTGCTTTATATGTTAACTAGCCTATCACTCGTGCTATGCACGGGATAATTATAAATAATTATATTTATTTTAGATTTTTTTTAATATATAAATTATATTTTTTAAGATTTTTTTATAAAAATGATTTGACAATCTTATCACTAACTATAATGTATTAGAGAAGTTGAAAAGGATACTGCAGTAACTATAAACATATTGTATCTATAATTATTTGTATGAGGGGATTTTAAATGCTGATCAGGGGATTTTGACCAAATCAATAAATGCAGGCATGTGGAAAGACACATGGATTAAAAAAAGTTAATAAATGCTGACCAAATCAATAAATGTTGAGTTTTTTTTCTTTTTTTTTAATAAAACATTTAGAAAATTCATATTGGGATATTGAAACTCCCACAGGCCTTGGGGTTAAAAATTCTCTTTTGCTTAATATATAGTATAAATATAGATAGATGTGTTGGACTTTTCAAGAAATTTTTTTTATGCTTGTTCTTAATGCATTAAACTATTATTATGAGGGATAATAATCACGTGTTGGTACTTTTCAAGGAATTCATATGTGTTGGATTTCAAAGATTTTTTTTTTTTTTTTATGTTTGTTCTTAATGCATTAAAGTATTATTATGAGGATAAGACTTGGGAGTTGAGAGAAGTTAATAAATGCTAAGATTTTTTTTTTAAATCAAAAAATCAGGAAATTAAGATTGGAGATTGGAGCTCTCACAAGATTTGGGTTTTAAAACCCCTTTTTGCTTAATATATAGTATAGATACTAGCATATCACCCGTGCTATGCACGGATTGTGTTTACAATTATCTATATATGTAAATTGTGATTTGTGATTTTTAATTTTTAATTTTTTTCAAATGTCTTCTTTTTTTCCTTTTTTATATTACATTAAAGTTTAATATTTTGATAATAATCATATGTGTTGGACTTTTCAAGGAATTAAACGTCTTTTTTTTATTATATTATATTAAAGTTTAATATTTTTATAATAATCATATGTGTTGGACTTTTCAAGATTTTTTTTTTATGTTTGATCTTAATACATTAATGCTGTGTTTGGTTGGGGTTTTTGGGGTGGGATTTGGAAAAGGAATGAGAAATGTAATCCTATTTATGTTTGGTTATAATAAAAAATATATGGGAAAAGAAAGGGGGTGAGAAATAAATAAAGAAATAGGAGACCTTTTAGGACATCAATTCTATTTTATAACCAACACAACCAAACATAGTTGGGATTTAGAATTCTATTAATTCTTTCTCCTTTTCTTTTCATTTCCATTTCCCTTTCCATTTCCCTTTCCAAATCCCCCAACCAAACACAGCGTAAGTGTTATTATGAGGGATAATAATCATATGTGTTGGGACTTTTCAAGAAATTCATATGTGTTGGATTTCAAAGAATTTTTTTTATACTTGTCCTTAATGCATTAAAGTGTTATTATGAGGATAAGACTTGGGAGTTGGAATAAGTTAATAAATGCTAAGATTTTTTTTTAAATCAAAAAATTAGAAAATTTAAATTGGGAGATTGGAACTCCCACAATATTTGGGATTAAAAACCTCATTTTGCTTAATATATAGTATAGATTAAAGGAGTATTTTATAGTCATAGTTTTCCTATAATTTCATGAGGTTCGAACAGAAAATTTAAATAGCACTTTATTACAACCATTTAAATAAAATCTTGTCCTTTTTATCAAGAAATTCACATAAAATTTTAATATTAAAAATAAATCAAGAGGGACAAGCATGCTATATCATTCTTAATCTAGATATCTTCATTAATTCATTGTTACTATTTGAGAGTTTAAGTGACCTCATCACACAATATGAATGTTGCGATAAATAATTGTTTTTTTTTTTTTTCCCTTCAAATTTTATTTACCGGGCATCAAGAAATTCACCTAAATTTGCAAGTGAATTTCGCATAAACTTATTTCCTGTTTGTTTTGGCAAATTTTTTATTTGTTTATATTTTCTTACGTTTGGTATTATAGAAAACTTTTTCTTTTATAAACCAAAAATAAATTTATTTGAGACAGAAAATATTTTTTACTTTCTAAAGGTATAACAGTTTTCAATACCATCACATTTCTACTGTCACCATCACCTCAGAATCATCCCATCGCCACACCACCGCCTCCTC